GGTGAACATCTGTGTGCTGACGCATGCATTGGTAAGAGGTTATTCTGAGTGCTGTGTGAAGGTGGGTTGAGGGGAATTTCACAGTCTATACAGGCTACTCTTAGGTTAGCGTCTCACAGGGCCTGGGGCTAAGCTGTGTGTGCTTTTCGGGTCTCGTCAAATGCTCTCCAACTGCCTTCCCCAGCAAAGCTGAGAACAGCAGTTACCTGAACACTTACCTCGTCTTTCCCAGGGTGTGTATGTGTGCACAAGCATGTGGGTGCAGATGCTTGTGTGTGTAGGTCAGAGGTTAATGATGAGTATCTTCTTTAGTAGTTATCTTTCAATTATTTTTTGAGACAGTCTCTCACTGAACTTGGAGGTCATAATGACTAGGCTGGCTGGCCAATAAGCCTTAAGGATCCTCCTGTCTGCATCATCCCGGCCTCATCTCTTTGATGCCAGCACTGGGGTTACAGGCGCGTGCCAGCATGCCTGGCTTTTTATATGGGTGCTGGGGATCTGAACTCAGGTGTTCACATTAGCATAGCAAACACTTGACTGTCTCCTCAGCCCCTGGAGCTTTTTAACATAGCAGGACCACAGCTACATCTTGTTCTAATGTATCCTCTTATGCTGTTAACAAGGGGAAGTAGATTTTATTTCTTCAAATGCTTAATGTGTTATTTGTACTTTTTTTGCCCCCCCACCTCCAATCTCCAGATCATTTGGCCTCAGCTTCCTGATATTACAGGGCCACGCTACCACACCTACCCCCGCTTTCTCAAAGATTTATTTGAATTTATTAATTCATTTCTTTAGTTTGGGTTTTTTTTGAGACAGGGTTTCTCTGTGTAGTGCTGGCTGTCCTGGAACTCGCTCTGTAGATCCGCCTGCCTCTGCCTTCTGACTGCTGGAATTAAAGGCGCACACACCATGCCCAGCTGATTTGTTTTATTTTTGATATTTTAATAGCATTTAAAAATATTTATACTGCTAATTATATAATTATTGTAATACTTATATTTTATATTTTAATGTTTAAATGTAAGTGATACATTTAAAATGTTTTTTCATTATGTGTATGTGTCTGTTCCTGTGTGTGGATATGTACATGTGTGTTCAGGTCTGACTTGGAGGTCAGAGGCTTCCTTTCCCTGGAGCTGGAGTCACGGGCAGTCGTGAGCCGCTTACTGTGGGTCCTGGGAACTGAACTTGGTTCTCTGGAAGAGCAATATAACCTCTTTAACTACTGAGCCATATCTCCAGCTCCACCTTTGGAGATAACTGTATGCAGCTGGGTATGACCTGGACTGAACTCATTTCTGATCCTCCTGCCTCTGCCCCAAAGATGCTGCGGTCATGCCAGGACTTCCTGTATTTTTTCCATTTTCATGTGTGTATACACGTTTTGCATGTCTGTGGGCACATCCATATGGAGACTCAAGGTTGCCGCTGGGCATTATCCTCAGTAGTCTAATTTCCTGAGGCAGGATTTCTCAGTCATATCCAGCGCTTGCTGATAGGGCGAGTCTTGCTAACCAGCTTGCTCTGGTCTTCCAAGTCCAGAACTGGGGAGCGTGGGCTGGCACACCCACCCAGCCTTTATATGGGTTATGGGGATCTGAACTCTGGGTCTCAGGCTCGCATAGCAAATACTTTTAACTACTGGGCCATCTCCCCAGCCCTTGAATTCCTCGATGTTAAGGTGCTGCATGTGACCCCCAACGTGTTGCTCATCTATCTTACTTCAAGCTTTTAGTTACGCCTCCCGGCGGGTCAGTGATCTAGGGAAGTCTTCCTGTGGGCCGTGGCTTTTTGATAAAGCAAGTATGGGATAGGCCCTGACCTCCTGCCCTGGTATCAGGGTTCAGAGTAGCAGACAAAACAGGGTGGGACACACCCTTGAAGTTGCCTGCTGTTTTCCTCACCCAGTTCTGAGTCAGTCCAGCCCCACTGTGCTGAGCTGCAGGGCTTTCCTGTGGACACCTCTCTCAGGTGTGGGTAAGGCTGGTCTCCTCCGAGGCTCCGGCAGGTATGCCCCAGAGGCTAGGAACCTCCATCTACATGAGAACAGGCTTAGAGAGAAAATCTGACTTGCTGGCGATGATGGCCAAGCCGCACCAGTACATCTGACCAAGTGGCCCTGCTGTGGTGGTGGCCTGCAGGGAGGGTCCCGGCTCCACAGCCGTTACCCGTCACCGGCTGATGGCGGGCAGGAAAGCAGCTCGGAGAAGCTCAGCTTTTCATGGTACCCTATGGGCTGGACACCGGTTTGGGTCTGATCAGCAACTATCTCCCTACAGGCATCACATGGGGCAAGGTCGTGTCCCTGTACTCGGTGGCTGCGGGGCTAGCGGTGGACTGTGTTCGGCAGGCTCAGCCTGCCATGGTTCATGCCCTGGTCGACTGCCTGGGGGAGTTTGTGCGCAAGACCTTGGCGACCTGGCTTCGGAGGCGTGGCGGATGGGTGAGCCTTAGCATCAGCGGGGATGTGGGGGTGGGGTGTTGGGAGGGGCGTGGTGTGGTAAGCACTGGAGTGTTAGTGTGGGGACAGAAGGGTGGAGTGGGGTGGAAGGTGGGGGCTGCGGGCAAGGGCTTCGGGACTCGGGGTTGCTCTGAGACGCAGGCAGGTGCTGGCTCTTTTGTGCCGGCACTGACAGGATCCCAGGCCCAGAATTGTCTCCCTGCTGCTCCCGGGAGGTGCCTGGCAGAAAGAGGCCAACAGTTTCTCAGAGACAGGACTCAGGCCCCCTCACAGGGAGATTTCAGTACTGCCCTAAGTATTTCACTTTCCTCTTGGGAGCCCCACTTTTCTCCATTCTCAAGAAGCAAGACCTAGAGGGGTGGGTGTCAGGACAGACAGACCCTCCTAGTCTCCATGCCTGACTGCCTACGTGGTTGGCCAAACCAAAGATGCTGGGCATGGAGGATGGGCTCCATCCAGAAGCCCGGTTTCACCAATAAAATGGGTAGGCAAGGACGTCTGATTCGAGACCTTCCCCCAACTCTTAGGTGTCCTGCTCAAGTTTTGGTCCAGATGGGCTACGGCCTCCTTTCTCAAGCAGCTTTGTATGTTCCCTTTGTGATTTGATGAGACAGTTTTCCAGAGCAAGGTACTAGGAACCTGGGGTTGACTGGCTTTGCTAACTGTCCCTTTTTCCTCCCAGACTGATGTCCTCAAGTGTGTGGTCAGCACAGAGCCTGGCTTCCGCTCCCACTGGCTGGTGGCCACACTCTGCAGTTTTGGCCGCTTCCTGAAGGCTGTATTTTTCCTGTTGCTGCCAGAGAGATGAGCTGCCCACCAGGGCAGGGGCCACTCCTAGAGCCCCTGGGCCCAACCCAAGGGGCCCACAGCCTGCAAAGCACCTCCCTCCCTCACATTGGGAGCATCCAGTCCCTCGGGCCCTGTCCCAACCCCATTCCTTTGTGGACCCTGGCCTCCGGGAGGGGTGAGTGGAGAAGGCTGTCTCAGAGTCTGGAGCTGGCTTCAGTGTCTGCTGGAGCTCTTCTCTGGGAACTCCTACCAGAAAGCCAGGGTCAGTGCCCAGCCCTGGAGAAAGGGACCGGGGAACACTTTCACTTGGTGTCCCAGGCCCCACCCCAGGAAGGGGCCTTCCCAGGACATGAGCTGGCCTCAGTCCTTGTGGGAAGTGGGTCCTGTACATCTGATCTGAAGGTGACTCTGGCTAATGCAGGAGGAGCCAGGGATGCTTACTGTCCCTAAAGGCAGAGCAGAAGGCTCCTGTGCTGCTGCTTAGGCTATGTCTAGATGAAGAAGGTGTCCCTAACTCACAATGGGTCCCCTGTGGCAGGGGCCAGGGGTGTAGGGATCCAGGCTAGTTCACCTGACCAATGAACAAGAGATCCTGTGATGAGGTGGTCTGCACAAGTTGGACCCCAATAAAGTTCTACCCAGAGGAGTGTGAGACCCTACTCTGATTTCTTTGTATCTGTCCTCATGGGACTGCTAAACATGTCCTGCTGGGACCTCCAAGAACTCAAGACTCGGGAAGCCCAGTCCTTCATGGTGTACCCGAAGTCTAACCTCCTCCTCCTCTAACTACTGTGTCCTGAGCGGCTTTGGACACAAAGCCTAACTAGAGGCTGTGAGGGAATGAAGAAGAAACACAGTCACACACACAAAAGCTGGGAACGGGTAGGCTGTGCACAGTCTGATGGAGCTGCGACAACCCGGAACCTCAGCATATTATTATGCACAGCCCAGGGGAAGGAAGGGTTAGCTAGTCTTGGTAGGAGGAGTCTGTAGGTGAAGTCTTAAGCTGGAACATCTAGGAGAGGGAAGCTGCAGGTGCTAGTTTTTGTACACACTGTCAATCATTTATAAACGCTTGTACTTGCACATACTTTCAACATTCAGTCAGACCAAAGGAAGGTTTTCCCCTTTCCATGGGTCTGAGGCATTGAGCCCTTGATATGGCTCAATGCCTCAGACTCAATGCCTCATGGCTGTGTCAAACAATACACATTCACTCAAGACTCTTAATCCCAGGGTCGTGGGTTTGTGCCCCACGTTGGGCGCTATTTGTAGCTGGAGAATTTCTCTCCAGCTCCCGCCAAGTCCCACCAGTCCTGGAGCCCACTTATAAAATAAACACACTGACTCTTACATTATTTAAACTGTTTGGCCATTAGCTCAGGCCTATCATTGTCTAGCTCTTACTCTTATATTTAGCCCATTTTTTTTTTTTTTTTTTGGTTTTTCGAGACAGGGTTTCTCTGTGTAGCTTTGCGCCTTTCCTGGAACTCACTTGGTAGCCCAGGCTGGCCTCGAACTCACAAAGATCCGCCTGCCTCTGCCTCCCGAGTGCTGGGATTAAAGGCGTGCGCCACCACCGCCCGGCTTAGCCCATTTTTATTAATCTATACTTTACCACGTGGCTCGTGGCTTACTGGTACCTTACATCTTTCTTGTCCTGGCGGTGGCTCTAGGCAGTCTCTCTGCATTCCTGTTCCCTCAATTCTCCTCTTTGTTAGTCCCGCCTATACTTCCTGTCTGGTTACTGGCCAATCAGTGTTTATTTATACAGAGCAATATCTACAACACTGCACATTCACTTGGCTCCCCATGTCTAGCCTTTCCTTGATGCTTGTTACCTAAATCAGGCCATGGGAGTGTTTTGAAGTGCTGTAGTGCTGGAGGTATGTGCTGGCTGAACATGCCTTGTCCTGTGTCTCCTTGGGCCCGTCCTTTGACTTGACCTAGCCTAGCAACCTGCCCACCCCCCCGCCAGGCTGTGTGTGTTGGGGTGAGCTGTGTGTCCAGCTGAGGAAGGTCCTGTAGAAAGAAGCCCTGTAGCCAAATGGGGTTCATATCCCTCGGTGGGCCAAGAGGCTTTAGGTGAGCCACTGCAGGACGATGTGGCCCACTTTAGTAACCGTTAGGGGTATGACAGGTTGGTCTGATGGTACAGGAGGGAAGGGTTCTGATGTTGGTTCTGCAGCCACGGTTTAGAGGCGCTGATGCCTGCCTGACAGTAGAGAGCTCTGTGCTAGTCCAGAGTGGGACGTGGCAATAGAGATATTCAAAATATAGGGAAGGCCAGGTTCTGGTGACCGGGGCACTCTCCAAATGCAGTTCCATGCAAATAGTGGGGTGCTCCTAATGATGCTGGACAAAGTGGGGGAAGAAAAGGATGAACACAGGGGCTTCAAACTCCCAGCTCTAGCACCCCACAGAAGCCTTCAAAGTTGTATCTGCTCTAACAGAGACTCGAGATCTTCTTCAGCCAGAGCTGAGGTTGCTGAGCATCCAGCCCAGTCTCTCTTCACCAGTGGCTGGATCATGGCACAGGTTGAACTGGTCTCACAGGGGTCTCCTGTTAAAGGGACAGCAGGAGATGAAGTTGTGTGGAAGGCCTTGAGGAAGCTGGGGACATTGGGTCTAATGAGTGGTCCTAGACAACAGAATCAGCTTCCCACAGCAGTAGGTTTCTTTCTCCAAATGGGGACAGCAAGGTCCACTACCAGGAGATGACCACCCAGCATTTCTGAGGCATGGTGAGGGCCTGCCTCCCTGGGGTCCTTGGGACCACCACTGTGCTGTCTATGGACTTAGCTGGACACCAGTCGAGACAAGCAGGCCTCAAGAGGGGAGAGCACAGGACAGGGACAGGTGTGTTGTCTAAAGAAATCTTACATTATTTGTGCAAAGTGAGGGGAAATGTGTAGAAATGGCGGTCAAGGGTGGAAGGAATGAGTAGGATCAGGCTGAGCTATTGACAAGACTCACCAAACAGATGCTTTCAGTGTTAGAGCTGGGGGTGGGACAGGAACCGGAACTGTGGTTGGCTGGATGGTGAAGCACAGGCCTGGTGGCCACTGTGAATTAGCTAGAGATCTTTAATTTTTTGTCGTTGTTGTGTTTTTGAGACAAGAGTCTCTATTTCGACCTGGCTATCCTGGAACTCAGTATGTAGACTAGGCTAGCTTCAAACTCACAGAGATCCTCCTGCCTCAGCTTCCTGAGTGCTGGGATTAAAAAAGTGCACCACTCCACCCAAGTTAGCTAGGGAGAGGAGACCAAAAGGCCTGGAGAGTGTGAGCGTTAGCTGAGTTGTCTGGGGTGCCCTGCTACCCACACCCTTGCCAGACCACCCCCCTACTGAGTCGGCTCCAGCACTCCAAGTCTTTAAGCTCAGGACGCATGTCTGCCTTCAGGCCAATCTCACAGAGTGCAGGAGCCCCAGGAAGGACCCACTGCTTCCTGGGCAGGGCTGTTCCCCAAGGCTCATTGACTCCTGCTCAGGCTTTGGGGCAGAGCTGGAAGGATACCCCGCCTCTCAGCCTTGGTTTCCCTCCATCTACAATAAGGTTGGGACTGAGAACTGAAAAGTCTTCTAGCCGGCTGGCTTCCTAATGAGGCAAGAATTCCAGGGACCCCCCAGGTTTCAGCATCAGAGGTCCTTCAGCCCCCCATTGCCTGTCCTCGCCTCATACTTGCCTGCCACCCACCTCTAGGCCCTGCTGCTCTCTCGGCTCATTCCTTCCTCTAAATTCCTACCTGCTTACCCCATGCTCCCAGCCCCCAGGAGGGTATCCCGGAGGCCTCCGGGTGGCTGTGTGAAGTCTGGCTTAGGGTGGAACCCTTGTATGTGACCACTGCGCTGTACTGCCTTGGCATTTGCTGCCTGGTGGAGAGCAGGTGGAAGGAAGTGGGGAGGGAAGGAGAGGGGGGAAGAAAAAGCCATGTTGATGTGTGGGTGGTTTGCCTTTCCAGCCTTATGTCCTTGGATCAAATCCTTTGGTTTATTTCCAACACAAGAAAGTAAATGTTCAACACTAAGAACTCAGAAAAGCACGGGCTTAAAGTGGCTCGGAGATCAGTGTGCACATTTAGCTAAGAGGACACAATGGGGTATGACACACTCCAACAGCAGAAAGATGAAAGCTGGAGACGGAAATGGAACAAGAACTGTGAAAACCTATATGAGGCCAGCTCTAAAAACACCTTAAAGGCACAAGACAGAGCAGAGCGGACATAAAGGCCGGCAGAGAACCAGCTGACTGGACAGCCCTCCAGGTGGGCACTCATAAACCAGATGCATTCCTTATCAAACAGGATGCTTTCTATCCTAATCAAAACAAGTTAATTACAGAATTCATGAAAGGGGGGCACACAAGAGCGGGGGAGCCAGCTCGTGTGCCAGGGCCCACTCCCACCCCCAGTGAAGGGAAGTGGGAGAGACCTACTTGCCACACTCGACCCTGAGGCTCTAGCACAATCGGAAGCTGAAGGCCAGGGACGTGAATAACCCAGGGTCAGACTTCAATGTCCAGAAAGGTCAGTCTGATGGAAAAGTGTCTCCTCATGCCCGGAGAACAACTTCGGCAGATCTGCATTGTGACCCCTGCACCAAGACCAAGGCGACCAGTAGGGCAAAGGCCGGTGTGAAACTCGGGCAATACTAGAAAACAAAAAAAATTCTGTGAATTCCTTCATAACTGAAGAATGAACAAAATCTTCCTGCATATGATTATAAACCGAAGACAAAATGCACACGGAACGTTCTCCAATGTGCTGGTACTGAGTGCCATGGGTGGGAGGAACAGGGTGTGGTGGGTGTGGGTTTCCCTGTGATCAAAGTTGGGTAAGTAGAGGTGACGGCTGAACAGCAGGATTGCACTCAATTACACTGAGTCGGATGCTCTGTGATGATTAAAATGTTCCGTTTTGTGTTGCATGCATTTTACCTGAATAAAAAAAACTGTAATTTAAAAGCAAGGGGATTAGGATTAATATCCCTAGTACGAAGTTTGTAAACTCTGTGTCAAGAAGAAAAACAAAATACAAGAGAAATACAAACCCAAACTACCCACCTATCACTGGTCCAAAGCCACGTTCGATACCATTCCCTATTGTTCTTGGGGGTGGGCACTTGCCCACGCACTAGGGTGTGGAACCCCGAGGTGGAAGGGCCACGTCTAAACAAGCCAGGTGTCTGCCCTTTGAGTAGCAATCTCACTTCTAGAAATCAATCAGAAGAAACAAATTGGAAAAATTCCAAGATGACAGAAAAGGCTTCATATGCTACTATTTAATGAGCAAAAGATTAAATGATCCTAATGCTGGCATTAGGGAGGGATGGCAGATGTACTCTATTCTAGAATTCTGACAACTAAACCGCTCCAGTGACTTACATGAGCAAAATGAACTTAAGAGAACAACTGAACTTATATACCAAATTGGTGTCGTGGCACAGTCAGAAATTAATATAATATTTAAACTTTGTCTTTAATAGACTAGCAAAAATCAAAGTTGAATCAGCAGTCTTGTCATTAAAATGATTATAATTACATATATCCTATACAATTAAGTAACATTTTAATTTAAATTTTCAGCTTGGGAGAAACAGAATCAAAGAATATAAATTTAAAAAAATTATAATCTTAAACTTGAACTGGAAACTGGCCCTCTAGCTGCTTCCTCCCCGAGAGATCACCCCAGGCTCCTCTGCCATCTCCTGCCCTGGGGAGAGCTGGAAAGATAAGTGTGCTGTGACCTTGTAGCTCTCAGCTGAGTGTGGCGCCCCCCCCCCCCTGCAGCTGCTGGCCTGCCCCCTCTACCTTCCAGAGGTCCTTGAATTATACTTGGAAGTTTATCAGTGCCTTCCGGCTTTCTACCTCCCCAATCCCATCCTGCCCCACTCCCCAAAGCCTGCAATAAGAGAGCCTCGCTTGTTCTTTGAATCTCAAGGGAATTGACGAAATTTAAGGGTACCAGCACAATGTTGTAATTTTCCTAATCCTTTGGAGCCAAGGGAACCAAGGGCTCTTTCCCTGCAGGAACCACGCCCCCCCATACCCCCCCCCCATACCCCCATTGTACTGACAGCTCTTCTCACTGAAGCTCTTCCTCAGACATGAAGGCTTGCTTTCCCCTTCTGGCTGGGATGCTGTAGCTCTATCGGAGCTCATGTGAAGGGTAATTTTTATTCATGTGCATGTGTGGATGCCTGAAAGGGCCAGAAGAGGGTGTCAGAACCCCTGGAGGTGGAGTTACAGGAGGTTGTAAGATGCTGGACGTGGCAAGAGCTGTAAAGGCGTCTACAGAGCCGCCTCTCCGGCCAGAGTTTGGGTTTGTGTGCAGGGTACTCATGCACGTGTGTGCTCCTGTGGGGGCCAGAGGACAACCCAGTAAATGCTCTTCAACTACGGAGCCATCTCTCCAGCCTCTCCATCTTGTATTTTGAGACACAGTTTCTTATTGGCCTGGAGCTTGCCAATTAGGGTAGGTTCAGATCTGCCTGTCTCAGCTGCTCGAGCGCTAGGGTGACAGGCATTTCCACACCACAGCACACAATTTGTGTGTGTGTGTGAGAGGTGTGTGTGTATGTGTGTGTAGGCCAGAGGTTGATGCTGGGTGTTTTTCTTAATTGCTTTCCACCTTTTTCTTTTTTGAGACAGGGTCTCTCTCTGTGGCTTCAGCTGTCCTGGAACTCCCTATGTAGAGCAGTCTGGCCTTGAACTCGGAAATCCACTTGCCTCTGCAGCAGGAGCTGGTATTAAAGGCAAGCACCACCATTCCTGATTCCACCTTATTTCTAAAAAATAATTATTATGTCTTTATGTGTGTGTACACCCATGAGGCCAGGAGAGGGTGTTGGATCTCCTGGAGCTGGAGCTGCAGATAATTGTGAGCTGCCCTCTGTGGGTGCTGGGATCTGAACTTGGGTCCTCTGGAACAGCAGCAAAGTGCTTTCAGGCTCTGAGCCATCTAGTCCTCCACCTTACTGTTTTCCTCCACCTTGTGTTTTGAGAGAAGATCTCTCACTGAATCTGAAGCATGTCCATTTGACGAGACTGAATGGCTGGCAGGCTCCAGGGCTCTGTATGTCTGGGACTATGGGCTATTGCTAAAACTCCTTCACATGGGAGACACAGGCAATCCCCTCAGGTCCCCCAAGCAAACATAGGCATGATTCTGCCAAAACTTACTCTGGTAAACCAATGAGTTTATTGGGCTTTCTTACAGAGCGTAGGTGAGCAGTTACTTTCAGGGTGTGGGTACTTTCAGGGTGTGGGTACTCCCCTACCCCAACAGACTGCACCGGAAAGCCTTTACCCAGCAGGGGAGGGCGTTCCCACAGCACAAAGATGAAGGCCCACACCTCTAGTCTCCCCCGGCCTGTATACTCTAGCCCCTTCAGAGGTCATGTGCAGTTAAGGAACAGCTGTATACAACAGGTGGTAGGGAAGGGTGGATACTCAGGTGAGGGTTTCCCCACCCTCCTCAGCAGGTCCAGCTGGAATGCCCTTCTGCAAGCGGGCAAAGCTCGACTGCCTCAAGATGGCAGCTGTCTGGCTAGAGGACAGTCACAACGTAGGACTATGCTGCCACACGCATTGGTGCATGGGTGCTGGGGAGTGAATTCCAGTGCCGTTTGTGTGGCAAGGACGGTATCGAGGGAGCCAGCCCCTCCCCGTCTCCCATCTGTATTTTTAGATGTGCATGCCCCAAGCTGATGTAGTCAGGAGAGGAGGGTTTTACTCAGCGTTCTTACCACTGTGACAGAACAGCTGGCACAACGCTACGATAATTTTGCTCAAGGTTTCAGGTGTCAGTCCATCATGGCCAGAGGGTTTGGTGAAGCGACTCCCACCACAGTGGCCGGGAAGAGAGCAAAGGGGATACTGGGAAGAGCCAGGCCAGGATGCAGGCCCCAAGGCCACACCCTAACCTATTTCCTCAAGCCAGGCTCCACGCCCACCTTTCACCTCTTCCTAATGATGCCACCATATTATGATCATCCAGTGACTAACCCCTTGATTAGGTCAGAGTCCTTCTGATCTAACAGAAGACTCTCTCAGACACACCCAGGGGCGTGCTTCTCTAATCCCTTGGGTGCTTTTCAACGCAGTCGAGCGAACATTTACCTGCCACGAGGAGGCCATGGACTCTGCAATGTCGCTTCACGTGCTGTCTCAGGGAAAATGAGAGAAAATGGAGCGGCTCAGTCGGTGAAGCACTTGCCTAGCGTGTGTGAGGCTCTGGGTTTGATCTTCAGCTTCGTGACACACACTTGTAACACAAGCACTTGGGAGGCAGAGGCAGCAGGATCAGGAGTTCAAAGTCATTCCTGGCTACAGAAGGCAGCTTAGGCTACATGAGACCTTGTTTCCAAAACAAAAACCTCCTGGCTCTTGTTTATGGACAGACCCGGAAGTTGAGTAGCCCACATGAGGAGCCTGTGTATGTCTAGGCTTTGGTCTCTATTTTCACCCACCAGAAAGCTCCAGCGCTCTAGGCCCTGAGCAGACTTGGGTCTGAGGCAGGCAGCCCTAGCAGAGTCCCAGATCAAAGACTCCTTGGGCCTCTAGGGGATAACTTGATGTCTGCCAAAGCAAAAACAGCACTTGACTGAAACTGCATGCAACTCACAAATATGCGTCGGCTGGCAGCAGGGTAAGGCAGGTGGGTGGTGGGTGGGGTGAGGAATGCTATCTCCGCGGGGTACCCTTACCCCAAAGCACAAACCCAAGGAGAAAGCGCTGAGTGCCAGCTTCATGGCTGGGGGGCTCCGGGGCCAACGCAGCCAGCTCTGGGGGGAGCTGAGCAATTCACAGCCATGACAACCTCAGTAACAGAAGCGGACGGAGGCTGCTGAGCTTATGGTCAGGCACGCAGGACTTCCAGGTGGAAGGCTGCCGGGAGACGGGCAGCAAACAGGCAAGGCTGAGAGCTGGGATAGACTGACTGGTGGGGCTCACTGTGGAGAGTCCTGGATTCCACCTCCAGCACTTGGGGGAAAGAAAGGAAAGGAAATCTTTGCGGAGGGTCAGGGCTAGAGGGCATCGTAAGCACTGTCGTCTTTGCTTAGCCGTGCAAAAAGCAGAAAAAAACCTGTAAAAAGTAGGTGGGGAGGGGAGGAAAGGAAAGAGGGGGCATGTGGTCCTTTCTTAATATCCTAAAGACTGGAAACCAACTATCAGCAGCAGATAAAAAATGGACAGTCTACACAGTGATAATATTCAAAACCCTCAGCCATAAAAATAAAGGCCTTTTATTTGGTTTTCTGTGCCATTACAAGATCACCAGGACAACAGTTCTGTGTGAGCAGAGTCTGCGGCCACACCATGTCTGCGTAGGATGTCTACTAAACTGGGGGGCTAGATGCAGGAGCCAGGCCCCTCCCCAGGCTCTGGGAGTTGCTCCAGGTTATGGGGTCACCTTCTTGTAGGTAACATGAAGATGCTGAGTCATTGGCTGGGTAGTGGTTGCCATAGAGACCGTCTGTTCAAGTTTGCCTTCAGAATTCAGTCTGAATTTTCGAGTAATCTGGTGGAGAACAAAACAGAGCACTTAGGTTTACCTTCAGAGTATCATCAAGAGCGGGTGTGGCGGCGCATGCCTCTCATCCCGCACTCAGCAGGCTGGGACAAGAGAACTAGCTCAGATTCTAGGTCAGCGTGGCCACACGAGTTCCAAGCTGGCCTTGGTTTTGTTTGGAAAAACAGAAACAAACACTGACCACACACGGGAGCGTCCATCCTCCTGTGTCAGTCACTGGTCACAGGTCTGTAAGCAGGACGATACCCCACCAAGGTTGAGACTCTGGGCGTGAACCACCATGGGACACACCAGCCACTTCTCCCAAGCAACAGGTAGACGCAGGGTTGGTATGAGTTCGGCTTTCCAGAAGTGGTCTATTGTTTAGTCTGTTAATATTTGATGGTGTTCTGCTGGCTATAATCTCCACTTCCATCTGAGCCTTAAACCATAACAAATGTGTTCTTGCAGGAGTTGGGGCCAGCACTTAGGGACCACTGGTCTATTATATCATATGGCTCTTCCCACAAGAAGATGAAGAGATCCTGAGTCACATCCTGAATTACAGCCCTCCTGTGTGGAATGCTTGTGGACACAGTGTGACCATAGATTGAATGTCTAATCTACTCTCTAAGGGCCTAACACTTCAGAGTGCCAGGACCACGGGCTGCCTCTGCCACGCCCATTACTTGGAATCCCAACCGTTTTGCTGAGAAAAAGATATAAATGTCAGTCACTACAAGTTTAGTTAGAGGGCTGAAGAGCTGGCCCAGTGGTTAAAAGCACTTCCTGCTCTATCAGAGGACCAGACGTGTAGACACACACAGACACACATAAATAAATTTAAAAACAGAAAAACCAATCAAAAGTCTCCCTAGGGACTGAAAATGGAGTTCAATTGGTGGAGTGCTTGCATTTATGCATGAAGCCCTGGGTTAGATCCCCAGCACTAAATAAACTGGATGTGGTGCTGCACACCTGTAATCCCAGTACCTGGGAGGTAGAGGTAGGAGTAACGAGTTCAAGGCCAGTCTGGGACGCTTGAGACCCTGTCACAAAAAAACACTTCTTTCAGGGTACCAGGAAGCACCATGGAAACAAGGAGGGAGGAGGCGGAGGTGGCACCCCACTTCAACTACCCGTTGGCCCAGGAAGGACTCGAGGGCTTTCTTGGATTTGGAGCCCATCTAGTTGAAAACATCACCTGGCTCCCACTGGCTCCCAGCCCAGTGCTGCACACGAGCTGGGGGGCGAGACCACGCAGAAACAGACCACGCAGAAACAGACCACGCAGAAACAGACCACGCAGAAACAGACCACGCAGAAACAGACCGGGGAGTCCAGCTCAAGGACTGCTGTGGTGAGGGGACCTTGAGCAAAGTCTCAACTTGTCTCTTTTTTGTTTTTGTTTTCCCGAGGCAGGGTCTCTCTCTAGCCCTGGCTGTCCTAGAACTTGCTCTGTAGACCAGGCTAGCCTTAAAATTCAGAGATCCACCTGCCTCTGCTGGGATTAAAGGCATGCGCCACCACCACTTGGCCTAAAATTGAATCTTAAAAAACAAATACAAACCCCTAAATAAACAATAATTGTAGGTGGAGTTTTCCTGTTCCACAGTCACTCTCAAGTAAGCACACCGAGGCTTGTATAATTATAAATGCTCGGCCAATAGCTCAGGCTTGTTACTAACCAGCTCTTACATTTTAAGTTAACCCATATTCCTTATTTACTCTCTGCCACATGGTGGTACCTTTACTAACATGGCATGTTCATCTCCTGTTTCCTCTGCGTCTGGCTGGCAACTGCTCTGACTCCGCCCTTCCTCATCCCATCATTCTCAGTTTGGCTTTCCCACCTAACTTTATCCTATTCAGCTATTGGCCAGTCAACTTGTTTATTAAACCAATCATAGCGACATACATTCACACAGTGTACAGAAGGATTATTCCATAGCAAATAACAAAATCTATTAAGCCCAAATAATGAAGACTCCGCCCTTCCTCATCCCATCATTCTCAGTTTGGCTTTCCCACCTAACTTTATCCTATTCAGCTATTGGCCAGTCAACTTGTTTATTAAACCAATCATAGCGACATACATTCACACAGTGTACAGAAGGATTATTCCATAGCAAATAACAAAATCTATTAAGCCCAAATAATGAAGACATTATGGTACCAGTTTGGAACTAATGTGAGGTTCACAGATTACTTTGAACTGAGAGAGAAAAAGGATGGTCAGGAGACAGAGCTGGTACTGGGAGTAGCAGGATGGGTATCTCTTCAGGAGGGGACAGGGTAGGTGGATGTCACCTGGGAGAGAAGATTGTGCCCCACTGTACACATAATTCAGCCTCCATGGATCAATGACCCAAAGGAAAGACTTCATTTAAACTGTAAAACTTACAGAAAAATAGTTCACAGTTTTCTTGATTAGTACATAAAAACTATTCAATAAAGCATTCTAAGAATAGAACCTATGGCAGGATTTAGTGGCATAGTCCTGTAATTTTAGCTCTTCTAAGCTGGAAACAGGAAGCCTTACATATGTCAGGTTATGTGAGACTGTCTCAAAAACAAACAAGAAAAAAAAATAAACAAAACAAAACTATCCCAACCAAATAAAAGGTAAAATACAAACTGAAAAACTATTTGTGGCCCACAGCACTCATCACTCACAAAATGGGTCTATCTAAATCATAAAAGGTATATATCCAAATTACAGAAAGAACTTCATGGCGCTAAAGAACAAGGCTCAGGAGGAATGGTCCATCAGTACAACTTCCCGAGGCTGCCCCACTCTACTGACAGGCCGAGGGACGCAGGCTAGAATACTGTTCCAGAGGGCGACCACTTGAGTACCTTCCAGGAGGCTGTCACACCAGGCCTCCGAACCCTTGTCAGTGTGGTCGGGCCTGGACCACTGTCTACAGCTACTCAAGCAGGACTGTAGTTGGATTTTCTTTTGGGACTATCTGGACCACCAGCCAGCAAATAATGACGTGGAGACTTATTAACTATGAAAGCTTGGCCTAAGCTTCGGTTTTTCCCCAACTAGCCCTTATAACTTAAAGTAACCTGTTTTTATTCATCTATGTTCTGCCACGTGGCTTGGTTACCTCTCCTCTGCACTGTATTCTGACTTCTTCAGTTTCTCAAAGCTGGCAGCTTCCATGTGTCTAGATTCCTCCTCCTAGTTCCTCTCTCTGTCTGAAGTCCTGCCTTTCCTCGCCTGCCTAGCTACTGGCATCAGCTTTTTATTACAGCAATCACAGCACCCATCTTTACACAGTGTGATTAAGTATCTCGATTAAGTTCAGACTGCACAGTCCAACAAGAGCTGTCAGAGGTACAGTTGGTTGGGCCTGGGGAACAGCAGTAACTTTTGGGCTCCGTGGTGGTAGTGGTGGTGGGGAGAGGTCTGCAGATGGGGTAATGGAGGCAGCTTGTCAAAACAGTGAGTCCTAAGGTATTAGCAAGACAAATGTTAAATCATCCACCTTGTTCCCTACCCTACAAAGCTCTGGAAAGGAGTTCTGAGGATTCTGGAAGTAGCTTCAAAAACAGCCTCAGAATAGGAAGGTATGCTTAAAATGTGCATAAGGCAGATCAAAATTATTTCAAATAGCCTCAAATTAGCAATATCCTGCAGTTCATCAATGATGAATGGATAAATAAGACTCAATTATCAGCTGAGCATAATGCCCTAAGCCTTTAATCCCAGCACTTGGGAGGCAGAGGCAGGTAGATCTCTGAGTTTGAGGGCAGCCTTGTCTACAGAGCGAGTTCCAGGACAGCCAAGGCTACACAGAGAAACCCTGTCTTATTTATTTATTTATTTATTTATTTATTTATTTATTTATTTATTTATTTATTTATTTATTTATTTATAAGATTTATTTATTATGTATACAACACTCTGCCTCCATGTATGCCTGCAGGCCAGAAGACGGAACCAGATCTCATTATAGATGGCTGTGAGCCATCATGTGGTTGCTGGGAATTGAACTCGGGACCTCTGCAAGAACAGCCAGTGTTCTTAACCTCTGAGCCATCTCTTCAGCCCGAGAAACCCTGTCTTTAAAAAAAAAAAAAAAAAAAGATTGAACTATCAATCAAAGGAACATTACTCGGTCATAGAGATCCCCAGGCCAGCCAGCTTCCCTGGCTACTCACCAATCACCTTTCCCACCATGTTGCTCTGGGACTACTTTCTGTCTCTAGAGATCCAACCAGAACTTCAGCCAGTGCAGACACTGGTCCCTGAAACCCAAGTGGCCCCAAGACTCAAACCTGAGCATCATTCAGCTGACCCACAATCTGACAGCAAACAAAGACCCGAACACACACCCAACAAAGGTGTAACCAGACAGATACCCACACCAAGAAATACCATGAATATACCCCAGATGCTTAGATCACATCCCCAAACACAAACATTAACAACAAAGACAACATGCCTCCTCCAGAAACCAGCTCCCTATTGTAGTATTTCCCGAGAAAAGCAATATAGCCGAAGTACAAGACAAGACTTCAAATAGCACCCATGAATATATTCAAGGACCTTAAAAAGGATATGAATAGGGGCTGGAGAGATGCTCAGCGTCTCAGAGCACTGGCTGCTCTTCCAGCGGACCTGGGTTCAACTCCCAGCATTCACATGGCAGTTCACACCTGTCTGTAACTCCAGTTCCAGGGGATCTGACACTCTCACATAGACACACATGCAGGTAAAACACCAATGGTCATAAAATAAAAATAAATAAATAAATGATATGAATAAACGTCTCAAGACCAGAAAAACACATGCAACTAGTTGAATGAATGAATAAAAACAATTCAAGACATGAAAATAGAATTTAACAAAGAAATAGAATCACTAAAGAAAAGCCAAACTGAAATAAAACTCATGATTAAAAACTCAAGAAGCCAAACAAAAAGCTGAGATAAAAGCCTCACCAACAGATCAAACCAAGTAGAAGACAGAATTCCACATCTGGAAGACAAGGGAAAAGAAACAGATAGCTCAGTCAAAGAAAAAGTTAGATCTAAAAAACCCAGGCCCAAAACATTCAGAAAATCTGGGACACCATGAACAGACCAAACCTATAAATGATAGGTACAGATTCATCTTTTGGCTGCCTCCAGTAAGCAAACCTCACCATCAATGACAGACATCACCTCAGGGTAAAGGGGTGGAAAAGGAACTCCAAGCAAATACAACTAAGGCAGAGGCAGGTATGCATCTATTTTAGTGCCTGACAAAACAGATTTCAAACCAAAACTAATCAGAAGAGCTAGGGAAGGTTACTACGTATTCATTACGGGAAAATCCACCAGGAGGATGTTACAGTGCTAACCATCTCTGCACCAAACACAAGGACAGAAGTTTATAAAGAAACACTACTACAACTAAAACTGACCCTCACACAGCGATACTGGTGTCAAAACCCTACACTCTCTCACCAGTAGAGAGGTCACCAGATAAAAACTAAACACAAATACTGGAGCTAAGTAACATCATAAATCAAATGGATCTTATAGACAGAGGACATTTCATCCCAAACACTGAAGAATATACTTCCTTATCAGCAGTCCATAGAACTTTCTTTAAAATTAATCACATATTAGGACACAAAGCAAATTTTAACAAATATAGGAAAACTGAAATACCATTCTGCATCCTATCTGACCTCTGTGGATTAAAACTGGGCGTCAACAACCTAAGTTCAGATGGTACACAAACTTCATGAAACTGAACAACTCACTACCAAATGAAAGCTAGGGTCAAGACAAATTCAACATTTTTTAGATTGAGTGAAAATGAAAATACAACATACCAAAATGAAGGCAGTTCTAAGAGGAAAGTTCATAGCATTAAGTACCTATATCAAAAAATTGGAGAGATCTTATATTAATAACTTAACACACTTGAAAGCTCTAGAAAAACAAGAAATAACACCCAGACAGATTTGATGGGAAGAAATAAACTCATGGCTGAAATTGATGAAATAGAAACGAATGATACAAAGGTCAATGAAGAGTTGGTTCTTTGAAAAAAAAATCAGTGAGATCAACAAACCTTTAGCTAAACTAACCAAAAGAAAAGGAGAGGACCCAAATCAATAAAATTAGAAATGAAAAGGGAGACATTGTAGACACCAAAGAAATGCAGGGAATCATACGGACATACTTTTAAAAAAAATCTGTATCCCATCAAATTGGGAAATCTAAAAGGAATGGAAATTTTTTTTTGACACAAATGACCTACCAAAGATAAATCAAGAGACCTAACCCATAGTGAAATAGAAGAGTAATTAAAAATCTCTCGAGTAAAAACAGCTCAGAGCCTGGCGGATTCAGACATAACTGTACCAGATCCTCAAAGAACCGACACCAACACACCTCAGACTGTTCTATAAAGTGGGGCATCTCCGAAGTGCTGGGGGACGGTCTGTGTGTCAACTGCTCTGATTGGTCAATAAATAAAACACTGATTGGCCAGTGGCCAGGCAGGAAGTATAGGCGGGACTAACAGAGAGGAGAAAAGAAAGAACAGGAAGGCAGAGAGAGTCACCGCCAGCTGCCGCCATGACAAGCAGCATGTGAAGATGCCAGTAAGCCATGAGCCATGTGGCAAGGTATAGATTTATAGAAGTGGATTAATTTAAGCTATAAGAACAGTTAGCAAGAAGCCTGCCATGGCCATACAGTTTGTAAGCAATATAAGTCTCTGTGCTTACTTGGTTGGGTCTGAGCGGCTGTGGGACTGGCGGGTGACAGAGATTTGTCCTGACTGTGGGCCAGGCAGGAAAACTCTAGCTACACCGAAGTTTTTGTGTAACAGCACTACTGTTGCAGGATATTTGATCACACTGTGAAGCAGATAGTGCGTTATTTATTGCAAAAACCTGCCTCTAGCTGTGGTGTGGCCCAGCCCTAGTACACACCCTTCATCTTAGAGCTTTCTGTTTATTGTAAACAGGATTAAACAAAATAGACCACAGGTCAAGAGGCGGGGCAAGCAACTAGTTGACAGGAAGTAGCCACAGAGAGTAAGAGGGAGTCAGGGAGACAGATAGAGATGCACAGAAGTAGTAGTTTGGTGTCCCTTTTGGTTTGGAACAGTGGAAGAGAAGCTCTCTTTCTAGGACACTGGTGAAGGAGGAAGGTCATCTGGCTGCTTTCTCTGCCTCCCTGGGCTAGCAGGTTTTCACCCCAGCATCTGGCTCCCAAGTCTTTATTGGTAAAATAAAATGACAGAGACTTAGTTAAAACAACATTTGTCTCCTGATGTGGAGGCAGCTGAGTTGGTGGTGGTGGGATGTGAAGGCTCCCCCAGTTCGAGGCTGCGGCTGAGGAGACACAGTCAGCAGCTGGGGTAGGATTAGCTGTAGCTGCTATGCCGCAGATACAAAAACAACACACTGTTATTGCAATTTCAAAACCACACGAGGACTGAACAACAACAGAAATCCATAAGAAAAAATGGCACGGTGGAACAGATATGCTGATCAATGGAACGGAAATGAAGACAAGACCCACACATAACCCACATACCTACAGAAACCTTTTTTTTTTCTTTTTTACTTTTTAAGGCAAGGTCTCACGATGTAGCTCTGGCTATCCTTAACTATGTAGATCAGGCTGGCCTTGAACTCACAGAAACTCTGCTACCATGCCCAGCCTGATTTCTGACAAAGAAACAAAAAACATCCACTAGAGAAAAGACAGCGTGTTTAACAACAAACCATGCTGGTCAAACTGGACAACTGCAGCTAGAGGAATGAAAACAGAGTCAGATCTACTCTGCACAACTCTAAATGGATTAAAGATCTCAACACAAGACTAGTACCTTCAATCTGATAGAGAGAAGGTAGGAAATCTGCCTTAACTCATTGGCACAGGAAGGAACTTTCTGAACAGGATTCTGACAGCGCAGCCATTAATAAGTGGGACCTCATGAAGCTAAACTCTTCTGTATAGCAAAGGACATCAAGGAAACAAATAACTAGCCAGGCTGTGGTGGTGCACACCTTTAATCCCAGCACTTGGGAGGCAGAGGTAGGTGGATCTCTGAGTTCAAGGCCAGCCTGGTCTACAGAGAGAGTGCCAAGGCTACACAGAGAAACCATGTCTCAAAAAACCAAGTGAATAAGCAGGTGGAAAGAAACAGACCATATGATCATATGAGCATGGTCTAAGAGATACATTCCACATGAGGGCTACAAGTCACTCAGCAGGCAAATGTCAGAACATACTCAATCACACAGAAAGGCAAATATGACAGATTAAAGGTCTAATGGAGAAAAGCAAAGCCACAAAAGCACAAGAAAATTAGGTATTATTATTATTATTATTTTGGAGTAGAAAACAAATTCCTAAGCAGGAATCTGAGTCCAGATGTGATAAAGGAAACACCTGGGACAGATGGTATTATAAATGAAGGCACTGCCTGGGGCCACACTAGCCACAAAGGGAACAGACAACAGATAACAGCCACAGCACGTAAAAAACCTCCTATAAGTCAATAACAGAATCACAACCTACAGAAAACCCAGCATAAATGGAATATACAAGGTAATATACATTCACCAATTAGATTGAAAACAAGAATGGGATTGAGCAGGAACCAGTGACTGTCAGGCAATGCGACTAGTTTCACTGTTAAACAATTTACCAGGATCTCCCAATCAAAATGTACCTACCCTTCTGGTTCAGTAATTTAGGAGAAATGTGTCCAGTAGATTTGGATATATTTACAAAAGTGTAAAGCACACATAAAGGGATGTTTGTGATGGAAAACAACACACCTGGAAGGTGCAGGGCCCAGCTATCACAGTAGGGATCATTTACACCGTGAGAGGGGATGGGGAATTGGAAACGGTAAGAGCTGGAGACAGCAGCATGGAACTCCTAAGTCCATCAGATGGCGTGGTACCACTGCCAAGTGCAAACACTCTGGGAACATCCGAGAGGGAGGCTGGGCTCACCTGCTCCACATGGGGCTCCTTGGCAAAGGAGATCCTGGAGATGGAATGGGATGAGATACACAGCTCGTGCCCGTTCACTTCACCCTCCTCCACCTCCACAACACCTGCAAGGGAGGGGCGGGGCAGTTAGTGTCGCTCTGGGCCACTCCCACCTTCAGAGCACTGTGGACAGTCGGGGCAACCTAACTTTGCTACCATGCAGGTACAGCGTTTCTTCCTTCTCTGAAGTCCCTCTTGCAGATACCGAGGAAATGACTCAGAATTCTCTCTATGTATATCTGTCTCTGAGTTTGTGTATGTATTTACTTGTGGGGGGTCAGAGGCTCACTCTGAGAGTTTTCCTCTGTGGCTTTCTTTCTAACGTTTTGGAGACACATAGAAAGCCCTCGAGATCCGTCTGTCTCTGCACTCCCAATGCCGGGGTTACAGACGTGTGGCATTGCTATGTGGGTACTGGGGATCTGGCTCAGGTCCTCGGGCTTACAGTAAGCACTCTGCCCACTACGCTATCTCCCCGGCTCCCGTACTTGTTTTTCAGAAGGGGTCTCATTATGTTGCTTACTGGTCTGGAATTCACGGGGTAAAGATCCTCCTGCCTCACCCCATGGCAAATGCTCAGTGGAGGGTCACCCTCTGCAGGGGTGCTGAGCCCCAGCCCTCCCTACTGCATTTCTCAATCGGTAGGCAGAGTCCCACGCTCAGGTTCAGTACTACCCTAGGCTGAAGAAGGAACCACCGACGACAGCCCTCTGGCGTTTGCATACTTCCATGCCTCACAGTGCCCAGTGCTGGCATCATTCCAAGTTAGTTAATCCTGAACAGGAGTGAGACTGGACATGGTCAAAGGCACACAGGCTGTTGAGTGATTTCTGAGACATCAGATTGCCAGACTTCCAGACAAAGACCGTGAGGCCAGTTGGCCTGTTCTTGCCAGGATCTACCCTTTGGGCATGTATTGTGTTAGCACAGGCAAAAATACCACAATAAGATTGTGCTAGGAGGAAGGCTCAAGTCTATGGAGAACCGCATCTTCATGTCCCTACAATACCTGACCATGAGCAGAAACATTTCAGAGTCACGGAGACAACCGCGGTCACACTGGCCAGCAGGCCCCAGGTAGGGGCACCATACCTGTGTTCTGGGCACTGACAAAGGCCACCTTGTTGGTGTCGGGCTTGAGGCGGATGAAGCCACACTCTCTGTGCATTGGCTTGTGTGTGTCTGGGTGGAACGAGTTGAACCTGGATGGGAAACAGAGAGGTAAAGCAGACAGCAGGACCTCAAAGGGCGGTCCCCCCGAGTGTGCCGTGGCAAGGTTGCTCCTCTGGGCGTCACATGACCATCCCGTGCCACCTTGGAGATCACCTCAGCCTCATAGTCAGGGCAATGGAAGAAGCAAAACACAGTGACAGCTGGTCCTATGGGAACAGTGAAGGAGCTTTCTGTCTCTTAGACAGGGTCTCAATGGATAGCCTTGGCTGGCCTGTAACTCACAGCCTGTCTCTGTCTACTAAGCACTGGGATTAAAGACATGTGTCACCACACCCAGCCAATAGTTTTTGACACTCCTAGCAGAAGGGGAGATTCTCACCATCATGCCTCACCTCTAGCCGTAAGTGACTCTGGGAACTGCTGGAGCTGAGTATCTAAAAAGGGGGCCCATGAGGTCGTCATCTACATGGGATGGGACTTTGCAGAGATACAGCCACTTGAGGGTCACCTAGAGTTTTGTAGGAATTACAGTGGGAAGGCTCATGTAGTTAGCATTCTCCATGTTAGTCTCTAATTTGGCAGGTAATTAGACAAAAGAGGACGAATCACAAGTTGCTGGCTCACCACTTCTTGCTTCTGGGAAGGGGGCAGAAGAGAAGAGGACAAATTAGACCTGGTTAAAGAGTCCCTCCTGGGATCAAACACCTTAAATCCCCCAAAGAGTCAGACAGTGAAGAGGGAAAATAGAGGTCAAAATGACAGAAGCTACCGCTCAGGTCCAACTTCTGACACACGGGAAAGGAAGTCTATGATCCAGCGTGCAGACCAGGTGTATAGAAAATCAAGAGTCAGGGGAATCCTCTGCCGTGGAACAGCTTGAGTTGGGAGGGACGTGCAAGAAGGAAGTGAAAGGGGGCTGGAGAGAAAGCTCAGAGGTCTTCCAGAGGTCCTGAGTTCAATTCCCAGCACCACATGGTGGCTCACAACCTTCTATGAGATCTGGTGCCCTCTTCTGGCCTGCAGGCATACATGCAGGAAGAACACTGCATACATAATAGATAAATAAATCGGTTAAAAAAAAAAGGAGGTGAAAGAACTCACAGCCTGGCTTGGCCTTTCAGCCTGTGGGACGATTAGCCTGTGTGCTGGGGAAGGAGAGCAACTGAGTGAGGACCCATCCCTTCCTGGAACAAAGGCTGACAACCTGAGACAACAGGAAAGAAGCCAGGTCCCAGGGGACTGGCTCATACATGCCATCAGGGACACTCGCTGATCAACAGCTGAGGTCCCCACGAATCAGGGACTGAAAGAGAGGAAAGGTAGAGAGAGGTGGGGCGCGGTGCTCAGTCCACTCAGCAGGAAGGGACTGTTTTCTCTACTTAAATAAGGAGGGGACTCAGCAGAGCCCCTGGGAATGGGAATGGAGTTGTAGATGCTTAGCTGAGCCCCTTGCTGGGTGTGACCTTTACAAGGCAGAAGAGGTTTTGCTGAATCTGGGTGACTTAAAACGACATGTAATTGGGCCCTTCAAGTGCTGTTGCAATCAAGAGGACATGGAAGGATAAAGCAGAGAAGAGAGTTTGTCCAGGTCATTGGAAGGCAAGATTTGTGTCAAGCTGAAATTCCTAAGGGGGAAAATGGCAGGAAGACGGATGCTAATTCCAGTGAGTGTCACAGAAAACATGAAGTGATAAAACAGTACAGATGAAAACTAGGAAGCTTGTGGATAGTTTCCACCTCTGGCCCAAGTAAGCTGTGTACATTTTTCCCTGCAGGAAATCGTGTTCGGGGTGGAAACTATTCACCTGGGCTGGAATTTTCATAGCAGCTTATGGAAGGCCAGGCAATGGCAGTGATGACTTTCACAGAACCCGGAGTCTGGCTGGCAGACCGAGGGAGCCAACTCACGTGGCAGGCGATGGAACAGTCCTGCTCCCCGTGGGCTCGTGCCTGTGCTCAACACTTGAGCTAGCCCATCAGGAGAGGACAGACGCTCATCAGCACCATGGCAACAGTGCCCAAGGATGAAGAGACAAAACAGTTAATGGAGAATCACTAAGCCATAGAAAACTCCATTAAGTAGTCCCTTCTATCCATGCCATCGTAGCTTGTGTGCTTGTTTGAGGACACAAGTAATGGAAGTGTTTGAGACAAGTAATGAAGTGTTCTCATGGACCTCACTAACATCTTTCTTTAGGATCCTCTTTTAACTGCTGACCCGAGATCAACTAAAACATGCTTGGAATGGATGGTGGTGGCCTGAGAAGTCCTGCCCACCCTCTACAAAAGGGCTTCATCACAAAGGTGGTATAATGCTAACATGAGTGCCTTACAGATTTTGAGAAGCATCTGAAAAACAGTAAAACCAGCAGCAAAGAGTCTAAAGAGGGTGTCCTGCATGGAAAGAAACATGCCAAAAGCTATGAGGGTGCCAACTAAAACTTCCAGTGCTGGGGTGGGTTACTTCCCTAAAAGCTGTTTGTTAGGAAGGGTCCCCAAGTCATAAGGACTACTGCCACTGCTGCTGGTTACATGTCAGAACCAGATGGTCGGGTCTTCCTGATGACGCACTACAGGCTTTGGTGCGGAACACGGAGAAGTCGAGCTGGAACCCAGCTGGAAGCTCCTGTGCTAGCTGGCTTTGCTGCTGGGGAAGGCCTGCAGACCCCGAGAGCTGCACTATCGCACGGCCAGGCAGGCTGTGCCCAGTGGCATGATAGCAGCAGCGACTATGATGAGTGCAGCCAGCAACTTTCCAACTGGGTTTCAGGCTTGTCCCACAGAAGAGGATTCACATCTGGTCATGTAAGTCAGGACGAAAACTTGTGGCTGGGAAGGCCACGGCCTCTGTGTGTGTGTGGTCATTTTGTTGAATGGATGTGGATACTTTTTTTTTTTTTTTTTTAAGATTTATTTATTTATTTATTATGTATACAGAAGAGGGTACCAAATCTCACTATAGATGGCTGGGAGCCACCATATGGGTGCTGGGAATTGAACTCAGGACCTCTGGAAGAGCAGTCGGTGCTCTTAACCTCTGAGCCATCTCTCCAGCCCGGATGTGGATACTTATCGAATGACCTTCTAAACCTCTGTATTTATGCCCATAGTTTATTATACTATTGGCCTTGGTTGTAGAGAGTTAAGTGCCATAACAACGAAATGCTTCCAAAAGGAAAATAAGGCTCCTACACACATCACCTTCCCAAGGCTAAAGGAATGCTGCAGTAGAGGGAGTGAAAACAATGTAGAGCCAGAGGCCGGGGTTTGATGTGCTGTGCTCTTCTCAGGCATTCCATGGCCCCCCTCCTGCCATCCTGGAGAGGAGATTCCTTCTCCCCGAAGCCATGGCAATATGGTGGTGCTAGATCCGGGGTAACGGAGTAGCACAGGACCTTTAGCTGGGGTTCCACATTACTCCCTCCTGTCCACCCGACAGCTGTGACCTGGGAGACACTAGAGTATACAGAAGTGGAAAAAGTTAACTAAAAGAGAACTCTGACGCAGCTCCTATGAGGCTGCTAAGCATGATGGGGTGTACTCTGTGTTAATGTGGGGGGACCACCTATGCTCCTATAAGTAACCTCTCACCTTTGCTCTATAAACATACCCAACAAACTCATGGGTCCCCACGAGAGACCCTGGTAGACCCCTTTGTTGCTGACGCCCTATTTGAGGTGAACAGTTCACGTTTCCCCAGGAAAAGGTCAGGTAGCAATGCAAAAAGCCCTGGGGAAGAAACAGGAGCTACGGTCGGAGGGACACGAGCTAACCTGCTCAGCGGTGGTCCCTCCAGACGCCATCCGCGGACTACCGCCACCTCCGTCACCACCCTTCCAGGTCGGAGGGACACGAGCTAACCTGCTCAGAGGTGGTTCCTCCAGACGCCATCCGCAGACTACCTACACCTCCGTCACCACCCTTCCAGTTCCGGCTCGTTCTTCCTAGCTGACCAACTCTTAAAGACAGGAAATCGTGTGTGTGTGTGTGTGTGTGTGTGTGTGTGAGAGAGAGAGAGAGAGAGAGAGAGAGAGACAGACAGACAGACAGACAGACAGACAGACAGAACACGTGTGTGCATGTGTGTCTGGGGTTGAACCCAGGACCTGAAGCATGTACTTCCTAATAATGTGGAGTATCAGGCCTTCTCAGCTTGTCCATTTCAGTTTTCAGCCCTAGGTGCCACTGTAAACACTGTAGATAATTACAGCAGAATCCTACCTTATCAGCACTTTTCTCTTGGAACTTTTTTTTTTTTTGAGACAGGGACTCATTGTGTATCCCTGGCTCCCTGGAACTTACTATGTTAAACAGGCTGACCTTGAACTTAATGAGATCTGCCAGCCTCTGCCTCCCCAATGCTGGGGTTAAACAGAACACTTATTTCTGTGTAAGAGTCCAACTACTCTTTATGGTAGAAATGGAACAGGAATTGAATTAGAGTTTCTAGTTAACCTTTATACAGATTCTTACCGAACACAGAACACATGTTTATAATCTCAGCACTCAGGAGGCAAAACCAAGAGGCCAGCATGATCTACACCATCACACCCCGACATGAAAGGGCTGGGCTCTGAATGTGGTACGGTGTAGAGACCCTGCGCTTGCACAAGGCCTAGTGAGGGAGAGGGAGAGAGAGAGGGAGAAAGGAGAGAGAAAGGAGGAAGGGAGGAAGGAAGGAAGGAACGAACGAACGAAGGAAGGAGGAGGTGAGGGAGGGAAGGGAGAAGGAAGGAGCGAGCCTGATTTATACTATCTGGGTCATTTATTTGCCTGTTTTTCAACAGTGCTGGAACTGAATCTCACACATGCTGGGCAAGTCTTCCACCACTGAGCTACATCCTCGGCTCTCTTGAAATTTTATTGTTATCTTTTATCTTATGTGTATGGGTGTTTTACCTGTATGTATGTCTGCGTACCACATACATGCCTGGTGTCTTGCAAGGCCAGAAGAGAAGAGGGCACTGGATCCCCTCAAACTGTAGTTACAGATGACTGCTAGATACCTTGTAGGTGCTAGAAATCAAACCCAGGCCCTAGGTCCTCTAGAAAAACAGGGCTCTCAACTGCTGAACCATCTCTCCAGTCCCATACCTAGCTCTCTTTACTTTTTAAATTTTGAGACAATCTTGCTACACATCCCTTGAACTTGTGATCCTCCTGCCTCTGTCTCCCAAGTGCTGGGAATACTATAGGCATTATTTACTTGGCTGTTCCATACTACTTTGAGATTTATTTTTTTTTTTAAAGATTATTTAATTTTTCATCATGTGTGTATGTGTGTGTAGGTACCTGTGGGTGCCTGAGGTTGGAGATCCCCAGGAGCAGGAATTACAGGTGGTTTAATTTTAACCTGCTTGACATGAGTTCTAAGAATTGGACTTGAGTCTTTTGGAAGAGAAATATGCACTTTTAACTGGCAAGCCATCTCTCCAGCCCAAGCTTTATTTTTTTATTTAATGTGTACGGTGTTTGCCTGCATGGATGCCTGATTACCAGACATGTGCGGTGCCCATGAGGCCAAAAAGGAGAATGGACTGAACTCGGGTCATGGGGCCTGGAGGCTCAAGTCCTCACCACTGACATAAGCAGGAATGGAGTTCTGCTTTTTTATTTTATGTTCTTTTTTTTTTTTTTTTTTTGGTTTTTCGAGACAGGGTTTCTCTGTGTAGCTTTGCGCCTTTCCTGGAGCTCACTTGGTAGCCCAGGCTGGCCTCGAACTCACAGAGATCCGCCTGGCTCTGCCTCCCGAGTGCTGGGATTAAAGGCGTGCGCCACCACCGCCCGGCTCATTATGTACTTATTTTTTATGTGAGGCGCTGGGGAGTAAATCCAGGGCCTGCACACACGACAAAACCACCCCACCATTTAGATATGTCCCTACTCTATTTAAACTTGCTAAACACATATCACTTTTGTGACTACATTTCAGTCACCCTTAAAAGCAACACTATTTCCTATTGAGAACCATAAACTTCCTTCAGCACCTCACCTAGCACAGGGCGAAAGTAAAGCAAGCCACATGCTCTCATTCAGCAACACTGGAGTGACTGATTTCCACACGGGTCAGACTGACACTAGAGATTTAATCAAGCACATACCAAGAGTTTTTCTGCTTGGATTAACAAACTTGTAAACTTGTCGTCTGCCTAACATCTTAAAGAATATCGTGGAGCAAGAAAGTACCATTTTTACAAACCCTGTGCCTCAGATGCCAGGCCTGGGAAAGAGAGCTTTTCTGAAGCAAATCTACAGTTTCTTTTGTGTCTTCCTGCCTGGTTTGTCTTTGATCTGTCTGGAGTTAGCTGAAGACCTAGGCAGGCCATGAGCCAGGTGGGGACTTACGAGAAGTTGAGCATAGGCTGGCCCACATGGGAGATGTGCACCTCCTCCAGGTATTGGAAGGGCTGCAGTGTCGGGAAGGTACCAACTCCCGGCGGGTCGGATAGCCAGGTACCCAGCATCCAGGACAGCGGCTCCACCACGGGGTTCATCTTGGGAGGCTCTGAAAACGAGAGGATGGAACAGTAAATGACTTGCTTCCTGCAGTGCTTTTCCAGGCTTTGGATGGAGACCCACACGCCACTGGAACGTACTTCCGTCAGGACAGCCACACAACCTTCCAATGCCCTGTGGAACCTCTGCAGTGCCCAGCGTCTGGGTCCTGGGGGGAATGAAAAGAGGAGAGCCAGAGTACCCTCCTCCAGCCCCTGGCATCCTGGGGTTGGAATGCAGTAGGTGGGCTACAGAATCAGCTGTGAAAAGCAGAGGGGCTGGAGAGGGGGGTGAGGCTGGAACTGGAGGCTGGCAGCCTCCAGGAAATTGTACTTTTCCTTTATTCCACTGTGCCTTCTTCAGATCCGCAGGGCTCCACTGTCTCCTAAGTGTGAAGGGGGCAGTCTGAGGAGCTGGAAGCAGGGGTGAGGTAGTAGGGCAGGCTGCTCGATGAGGTGGAGGTGAGGACAGGGCTGAGTGGGCTCAGCAGGCGCTCGCTGTGGTTAAGTCACATGACCCTAAGATGTACTCTGCAGGAGGTTGTGTAGGGCCCGACAAAGACCCCCAGACCGATTCCCACACATGGCCAGGATACTTCTGGGACCTTTCTAGGACTTAAGTCTGAGTGCTGAATCTGGAGTTTGGAAAGCAACTCAAAGGAAGACAGAACTGGAGATGGACAAACTCATCAGTCTACCAGGTGGATTCTTCATCTACCAGCTGACATAGTTCCACTTCCAGAAATCAACAACTGACAATGTGTTCCAAGACAGCTGTGCAGGGCTGGCCAGGACAGCCTTGGGAATGACTTGAGTTTCGATATCACACAGCTCTGAACTGAAAGAGTTGGAAGACTATCCAGAAAGGGGAAGACCTTTAAAGGAAGAGAAGACGACTGATAGTTGTCTTCTACCATGTGGGTGCCAGGAATCGAACTCAGCTCAACAGACTTGGCAGCAAGTGTCTTTTCCCACTGCGCCATCTGGGCAGTCCTTAAAATGTCTTTATTGCGTTGGAGAAACGGCCTAGCTCTTAAAAGCACTTATGCTCTGGTGGAGGCCCAGGGCTCAATCCCCAGCACCACATGGCCATCCAAAATTCCAGTTCTGGAAGATCTGATGCCGTCTTCTGACCTCCTCGGGCAGCAAGAACATGCCTGGTGCACACACGTACACGCAGGTAAAACATTTTTACATAAAACAATATATATAAGTGCCACACAAAATTTTAATTTATTACTTTTATTTACATATATCTGTGTGTCTATGGGAGTGCAGCAGGTCACTTTCTGGACCTCCTCGCTGGATCACAGGCAGGCCAAGCTCCCATCTACTCCCTATATTTAGGGTGCTGAGTTAGCCTCCACATCTCAGTTGAAGCCTCTACCCCAAGGGGCAGGGGTCAGCTGAAAAACACTCCAGGGAGGCTTTGTGACCTCAAGCTGTTCCAATACAGGGCATAGAGAACATAATGCACAGGTGCCTTGCTCTGAGGGGGCCCTTTGCAGAAGCCAGATGAGTCTAGCAGCATCCAAACCACAGGGGACTGTGCATGGAGAAGCGTGGCTGGGTGTGTGGCTGGCCTGAAGCTAGTTCCTATGCCTTGGAGTGTCTGTGGGAAGCCATGATGGACATGTGACATCTTGTACACTGTGCTGAGGAAATACCAGTTCTCCCTTACAGGTCTTCTCACAAACCTACTAGAAAGCACACATGAAAGCAAGTCCTGTCAGCTTATTGCCTGTAAGTGTGCTGTGTCTCTCATGCATGATTAGCATGTCTATGCTACGAATGTGTACGTGCTCTATAAATATGTACGTGCTCTATAAATATGTACGTGCTCTATAAATATGTACGTGCTCTATAAATATGTACGTGCTCTATAAATA